CCGAACTGAATCAGGCGTTAGGTTCACATCTCCGGCAAGTGTGATAATGCCTGCAGGAATGAGGTATGAGTCGAACCAGTTGAGCGAAAGATTGCTAATGCCCCATGACTCTAGGACGGACAGCAGTGTCTTGTGTTGCACACGGTCGAAAGCCTTTTGCACGTCCAAAAGAAATATAATGATTGCCATTCCTCTGTCAATCATAGTCTTGACGTGTTCAAGGAAATGTAGCTGGCAGGTAACGCAAGAGCATTTTAGGAGAAAGCCAGTTCGTGGGATGTTGTACATATCCAGCCCAAGGGGAAATTGGACCATGTTCTTCTGGACTATTTTCTCTAGGGCTTTGGAAGCAGGAGAGTTGCCATTTATAGTGCGGTTGCTAGACATTTTATTTTGCTTGCCACCCTCGTGGTTAGTCCTTATAATGGATCGATTCCATTGCGAAAAGGGGCAACCGCTATTTAGAGAAATTTGAAGGTGCTTAGTAACAGTAGAGAGCTTTTTATACGCCGCCTATTTTGACGCTTGGGAAGATACAAATCTGGGCGTTGAAGGAGTCGGTGGTTTCGTGGATGCAATGGCATTTGCGCCTCCTTTACTATCATAGGAATAGTACTGGTTAGCTCGTTCGTACTTTGTGGAATTAAGCGAAGAAACATCCGGGTGCTGGGAACAAAGCAAGAGGCAAAACTAGAGTTGTTAGTTTTGCATATTCAGTAGAGGTCGCGAGTTATTAAACCATTGTCCAGGGCTAATGGTTTAATTTTCTGATGAGGTTTAGGGTTCCTTTTTTGTATTTGCATCAATGTATCTACTATATCATGAGTTCAAAGTACCCGACTACCTTTGTTTTCGTCCGTTTGGGTTAGTCGCCGTAAATAAAGCAGCGCTTGGTGTATTTGTAGCAATGTTGCGAAGCCTTTGCCACTGAGATATAGTTGTCTAAATTTCTTCAGTTTGGTTGTGGCTTGGTATAGAACCTTAAGTTCACTACGATATCTATAGTACTTCTTCATACCAAGGACAATATTGTTAATAAACTATTCGTAGCCACAGTAAGCTTGTAAGTTATGAAGAATGTGTTCCAAGGTATGATATTGGTAAGTTCAATAAATGAGTTCCAGCCTGCAAGATAGAGGTTGCGTATAGGTGTTAACATTTTACTTGTTGGTTTATGTAATTCAATAGTCGTATAACAAAGCACGGTGTTGTGATCATAACCCAGTGGTGGATTATTAATGCATTTAGACGGAAGAGATTCCCATCTTGAATGCAAGGTGTAGAGTAGTGGCACTTCTAGTTGGCCCTCTAATATGCTTGGCCCAACCATTGAGGTGGATAAATTGTTTATGTCCTCAATCCCCGCAGTGCTTCTGAGTGTAAGCAGAATCAAGTTAACGAGTAGTAGGTTGGCATCCCCGCACATAAGTTTAGACTTGTAGATGGTGCTGAAAACAGTAGGTGTCATACTGATTAGCTTTAGAGTTTCACATTGGGTGGCTTGATGCTGCCAAAAATACAATACACTAGTAGAAGAGTGGACAGGATCACAAGCCATAATTTATTATCAAATCGTTGAGCACAGTTTGATTTGGGGGTATCGCAGTCAGATGATTTCTAAGGTAAATGGCATAGCCACCACCGTGTTTATGTGAGCGATCTTTGCGAAAAAGTGTATAGCCCAAGATGTTAATCTGAGAATTACCAATTTCTGATGTGCACCTGATTTCTATAATAAAAGTAAAATTAGCGGATCTCGTAATTGTTATTTTTAATAGTAGATCAAGGTAACAGAAAACAACACTTAATACCAACAGATTTGAAAAACAGTGTTAGGTTGTAATAAAAGAGGTGCGCAGGGTTTGTTTCTACTTTGTTGCGTCTAAGAACTGTGTGTTTTGATGTAGCTGAGGCACACTGAGCGCTACATCGTGCTAGATTAACCTGAGTGCAAACTACAGTAATTGAATTATACACTGAAGAATAGTGGTGCGTGACTGTGACCGGATTAGTGGGGGAAGACGTGGAAGTGGTGTGATGCTTCATTCTATAAAAGCATTTATGTTTGAATTATTGCTGCCAATTTGGTAATGAACGGCGCAGTGGTGGCTGGGTTTTCTCTTGAGGTAAATAGTGGTTACACCTTATTGCGCATAAATACAAAAGGCTTGCAACCATTTTGTGTGCTAGTTTGGAGTCGCAAACATAAGAGTTTCTAAGCTTGGTCTTGAGCGATTTGGATTTGTAGTCAGAGGTTGTGTGAGTTATTATTGGGCCGTCTCACTGCTACTTATCCGGACATCAGTGTTTGTGTTACATGCGGACGTACACATTTTCTCAGTTTGTCTAAATAAATATCTCTACGTTCTTGTAGTGGTCGCCTCAGAGCTGCTGCGCTTTGTGTGTTTCTGAAGGCGATTATGGGATGGGTGTTACCCGCTCTTTTTGCCTACTCGTCGGTTAGTCGGAGATAAGCCATGGCTTGCGTCATTTAGGTCAGATATTTTTGATTTTCGTGACAGTAATAGGACAGTCTGAGTTTGTGATTTGATTTTGTTAGGTATTAGGTACAGCTTTCTAATCGTTTGGAGCTGGGAGAAGTAAACGGACAAACGACTTGGGTGTGTAATCAATAGGCGTCTCCCGAGTCGCTATATTTTCAGCTTGGTTAGCGTTTTTAGGTAGGCACACATCACCAATACTGTTTGAGGATCTTTCACGAAGCCGCTGAGTAACGGGATGCCAATCTCCTTCTATTTTAGATGATTTAGTTGACGTGTCAAAGTTCCCATTGCCGATGACAACATCACCACCTACTTCAATTAGAGGAATTGACGGTATTCGAGTTGCGGGGGATTTAATTTATTGCTATGCGCTTTCGAAGAATTCTTCGATCGTGTTTGATCAAAATATCTGGATATTTGTTTGCGTGACAACTAATATTTTACTGCGTAAGAATTTTAATGCACTCATATCAGTTGGAAACCTTAGGAGTACTGGACATAGAGTCATGTTTTCTTGACATTGGCATTGACAGAAGGCTCCATCTATACTGGCTGCCTTTGGAAGGATATTATTGACTGTCGATGTTCGTTTTATCAGTTACGTTACAATGAAAAACAGTATACGGACTACGGATGCATTATTTTGTGTTCGGATGCACCTGAATTCCGTAAGGAACTAGCTGTGCACAATCGGTATACTGTAACAGTTGCTAAACATATAAACAGTTCACAGAATGATATAACTTGAGCATAGTTTTCAGCGTGGCTACTTCTTTCTCAAAGCTGTAACCCGAGTTTACTTTTCAGGCGGGATAGTGGTAGTATCTTCGAAGTGGATCACAGCTGCACCCGCTTTTTGTAGTTTAGATGACGTACGTCTCTTTTTACAATAATAACGGATGGTATTATAGCAGTGGCATTTGTTGGTTTTACAAGCTTTTCTGGTTCCACAATCAGCTTAATTAGGGAGCTTCTAGTGTTCACATTTCTAACAGGCATCTTTAGTGGGTACTTGATAGGATGTTAAGTTGATTAGTGTAGTACTACTGAATGTTAAGACTGTGTAGGAATACAAGCAATGTGGGATGAGAAAAAGTATGACGTCGATAGTAGTTTGATAAGCAATAAAATTAACCGGTTTAACTTGGGGTTGTTTTGGTCGATGAGCCAGTTTTTGGTTCGCTGTGAAACAAGCCCAAGATGGCGGAGATAGACGGCAGCTGGGCCAATCAATGAGACAGCCGAACTTGGACAGTGTGTATCAACCGCCTTTGCGCGGAACGAAAAATACACCAAAGGATAAATATTGTTGCACAATGAACACAGATGCAACACGTAGAACACAGTATCCCAAAACAAACGTAAAATTCAGCACGATAATGCAAAACTCCACAGCGTTCGTAGGTAGAGTCAGTAAAAATAACCAGTAAATTAAGCTCTTTATTTATGAAACGAAAGTACAAGGGCGTTAACAAACATGCCTTACAGTTGAGTTACACTTCATTCTACGAATACTGTGGTGAGTCCATTTGTATGGGTATATATATTTTCTGGCACTATTTCCTAGTTTGAATTTTCACCTTGATCATCTTGCGGAACTGTTACATTTCAGCATTTTTACCCTTATAAAGCCATATTTTCATAGTAGTATAAGGTGCAAAACTCAAAATGTTAGTTGTTTTTATTGAGTCTGTTCTTTAGATAGCCGTTTATCTTTTAACTCTTATCACTGAAAAGCACTCTTTATGGGATAGTTAGTAACCGCTACGCGATAGCGAGATAATATAGATTTTGGCACTGCATGTTCTTCGGGTACCCAAAGTTCAAAGCGCACAGTGTCAATTAGCCATTTTTAATGACATTAACCTTTGTAAAGTAAGCGTAAACGTAAGGTGAAGAAAAGTGCGTTAAATTTACTAACAGATTTTCAAAATCAGTTGTGAATGATGTCCACAAGTACTAAACACATTGTTAATTTCGGCCAATGTATACTTTCTTCTTGATACTATTTTCAACCTACGCAAACCACAGTTTAACCGTGCAGCTGTATATATTGGGGACACAAATACATTTTTGGTTACATACATAGTGAATTTTAATTATCAATCAAAAAGTAAAGCTATAGTTTTAGTAAAGGCCCCAGTAAATGCGATAACATGAATATGGAAACGGCCTTTCCAAAAAATTGTTACTTTGCTTTGTCCACTGCAAGCAGATCTCAATGTATTATGTGCTGTTCTGTATACTATTTTCTCTACTGCCCTACTAAATTGAGTTATAAGACAATTGTCAAAAAATATGAATGTGAATGAAAAGCACTTTAAACCTGGAAAATAGCAATCAGTCACAAGACATGATCGAGATAAAATTACCCATTCAGTAACAGCTTTTTTAACCTCACTTTATAATGGCGGGGCCTAAAATACTTTATGTCATGCAGTCTTTTTGTGAATAGAAAGCACTTATCTATGAACCATATGTACACTGCAATTTCAGACTTGACGCATCCTATTCCTTGCTGTAAGATGGATACACTGTATAGAATAATTGGAGAGGATTGTCCAAAGATTTTCAACGAGATGAACAGCAACATATTTACTGGCTGCCGTGATCCAATAGTGTCATTATTTGTGAAGTATATGGACTACGTTGCTTATGCTCTCATTGGCCTGTCTGCTATTTTGGTAAGTCTTTTAATGTTTGCAGCAAAATTAGGTAAGGTTTCCGTGGTATAAAACTTCCGGTTTATTTTGTTGCTGTTTTTACAAACTCGGTTTATACACAGAACAAAGAACTTGCGGTCAAAATCTAGAGGTATATCCCACCTTGAAATATTTCTTGAGTTCATCCATCAAATGTTGTGTGGTCTTGCTTGGAACAACTCATCAAATGGTTACTCCCAAGAGAACTGGGTCATGATCGTGTTCAAGGTTAGGTAGTTAGTGAGCTTAACGCGAAGTCGTTGCGTTGTCACATGATCTGATTGTGACTTGGAGCTTATTTTACAGAACAGCGTATCTTACAAGGAAAAAATTGAGCCGCAGCTTTACCCTGCACCTAGGTGCATAGTGTCCGTATCAAACTATAATGTAATTCTAGACAAGGTAAATAGCACTGGGGTTTTTATGAATCATGTTGTACAAAGCATCTGTTTATTCCTCAAACTTTGTAACCGAAGTGGATCAGGTTGGTATTGTTGACAGCGCTCCCGATAGTTCTCAGTAGAAGTTTGTCAATCAAACGTATGGTAAATGACCTCTATATGCTTTCCAGTGGTAATCTATCAGAGTTCCTCATGTAATAGTTCAAAATCGGACGAGTGAGTATTTTGAAGAGTTCTAATCTGGCTTGCATTATGCTCTTCTTATACGGTATATCAGCCACCGATTTTATGGCCCTGACCAGCTGGTATTCCACTTGTTCGGAAAAGTTGAAAGTACAAGAATCCGTGATTCCGAGGTCGCAGCCAGACAGGTGTACACCGAAGTGTTCGTCGTTGAGTGTGATCCCTCGGGTATCAAACAACCGCGATAGATGAGGCTAGATGTTTTCGCATAGAACTTCATTATCCAAGTGTCATCATTTTTCAAGGGAGTGGACGTCTTTCTGCATGAACAGTAGTGTATTTTGAATTCCAGCTCGTCGGGATTTGTAGACTATGTTTATGTAATCTTAAAATAGCAAAGGCATCTCATGACTAATAACCACGCTAATATCATTGACGTGAGCAAGAAAAGTAACAAATCAAGTATATTCCCTTGGATAACGACACTAATGATTGGACGTGGTGAACGGTGGTGGTCGGCTATGGTAATCACCTGAGAATGGCCGCTCAGTTAACATGGTAGACAGCCTAGAAGTGGGTCCTGGATTTCAAAGCAAGCAGCCTTTTACAACAGCCGTTTTTGGAGCACTCGATCGAACGTCTTTTCCGTGTCCAAGAATAAAATTATGATTGCGTGTCCTTAGTCATTAGAATAGAAAACATGGTTTACCTAATGCAATTAGCACATTATGCACGACTGTATGTTCAAGAAACCGTGCTGGGAAATATCGAGCAGCTCTAGAGTATTAATGAAATGCAGCACACCATTTGTAACCAGTTTCTCTAATCATCTGGCTACTACAAGGCTATGATGGATTTTCCGGCAACAGTTTAATTTTCTATTTGGAGCCATCCTTTTGACAGGTGTTGAAAAATGCTTTACAGAAGAGTAGTAGGGGGAGTTGAATGGTATAGGTAGAATTTCGTCACATCTAGGCTCACTCAGACAGCCGCCACAAGCCCGGAAAAGCACTGTACGCGCGTTTCATCCTTTCGGGAATCATCAGCAGTGCGCATTCCATCGGACCCTTGGTAGGGCTCGAAACCGCAACTCGACTGTTGCCAGTCCGTGGTTGAGACCACTGAGCTACGGGGGACGGCAACGACCATCGTGAATAGGTTACTAGATAAACAGCAATAATAACGGTATGGCAGCCACTCCCAGTTTTATGACCGCAGATAGGATACACTCGGAATCCAGATGCGATGGTTGTTTGAGGGAACTAATTATATGTTGGATATTACTGATAGCAAATTCAGTTTTACGCAAGGCATTCAGTGTTCGCACCCCAATGCGTCTTTAGCGGGGCCGTCTTCAGGCTCTTGTGGGTAACGAAAAATGAGCTAAACGCTTCACTGACGTCAGCTGAATCATGAAAAGACTGCCAGTCTGCAGTAACCAGTCCATCGACCAAGGGAGTGATAGTTGGTTCCGCGATGAAAAATTTTAACCAGTAACTTCGTTTTATATATCGTTCGTAGAACTATCTGTTCATCGTGTATCCTCTTGCTCAAATGAATATGCTTGACCCTGGCAATGATGTGCCAATGTAAAAACAAGGTGAACTTCCTCGTCTTTTTGTAGCGAGCAGTCATTCTTCTGCTTTTCCGGCTGATTGAACGAATGATGCGTCTTTTTCACAATATGAATCCCTTTGTCTTGGAGAGTAAGGATAGCATTGGCCGGCTAGACCTAATAGTAGGAATAATTCAAGGCAGCGTACACATTGTTAATGTGCATAAACTCCTCCCAATCAGATGATCGGATTAATTGTTGAAAGCGCTTCCATTTCATCATATTTTTTGCATATGGTGGAATAAAGGCGTGTTTAGTGGCCAATTTAACAAGGAAATTGAATCCTACCATCTTGTGTTTGCTACCAAAGTGTTTGTCTGATAACTCTGTTCATTTGTGACCCCCAATGTGAATATCAGGTCGAGTAAACTGGTCGCTCTTTTTGGCTCAGTCACCCACTGTGTTCACCAACCAATTCTGAGAGAGGAAAGATAAGTAGGTTAAAATCACCAGCAATTATGTTCTGTCTTTGTGGCATCTCAGCAGTAAATTCGAAAGCTGAAGTGATGATGCTAACACTCGCGGTTGACGCAGTGGCGAGTTGCAAACACATCCGAGTAGAATGTGAGCATTGGTTTGAAAGACGGACTACCAAAGAGATTCGGGAACATTTGTTAGCTGTGGATGATCAATAAGTTCTGCTGCAAGTGTGTAGTGTAGGCATATCATGCATCCACCTCCTTTGCCTGTGCCGTCATCTTTTCAGAAGAGCTGATAATTGGTAATCATTAAGGTGAAGTCTAATGTCTCGGGGGAGCACCCCGTTTTGTTAACGAGGATTGCATGTTGCTCGTTGATATGTGTAAGCATGCTTAGGAAGTACAATATGTTGTTACTCGATCTGGCATTAAGCGGAAATACAGAAAACGGACTATTGGCTGCGTGATCTTCGTGTTGTGGTTCAGTGTTATATACGTTGTTGTAGTCAAGTAATATGGACGCAGAAGTGAGTTGGAGTAGTGGGGTTGCGTCTATTCTTAGCAGGCGTGGTGATATGAGTAGTGTGTCATTTGTGGGTTGAATAGTTTTTAGGGGTTTCCTTAGGTAATACTGCAGTATCGTGAAGAAAGGTGGTGCTCGAAGTCCTTATTATATGAGGAGAGTTATCAAGATCCATTTCGAAGTGCCGAGTTCCCACATTAGATAAGTTATCTTTCAGAGCTTTGGTCTGAGAACACTTAACCCAAAGAGCCGTTTGCCCTGGTGGTGGTAACGAATTATCATTAAGGGACGTTTGTAAAGGCTTGCGATTTGGTTTAATAAATAGGTCTTTGAACTCTGTTCCGCTGGGCAATGGTGAGCCGGTTTTTTCAACAATTGGTTCGCGAAATCATCAGTTGAAAAAGTTAAAACCCATACGTCAGTAATGCTGTGGTGGACTTGTAACTGTGTATTAGCGTGTTCAATTCGTAGTTGATGGTCCCAAGTTGATCTAAAATACTGCAGTCGGTAAATGCATAATCAACTACTACAGACCAAATACGTTCATTGCTGTTTCGTGGATCAACCTCAGTTGATATCATCAAATGGGGTGTAAGCAGACCTCTGTTCACGGTAATCACATGAACCAGGAGTGTTTCCACTTAGAGTTAAGAAATATATCTAAACACGTTAAACACTGGTTGCGGGGTCAGCTTATCCGGAGGAGTATAATACATCGAGAGGCTGACCCAGCAGCAGTAAGATCAATAACTGCCTGAGAGTCCTTTATCTAGGCTTCAATAGTAATGCGGACCTAGAAACCGAGAGTGAACGCGTGTGCAAGTGCAGTCTGCTGTTTTATTTGTCTTAGTGTGCGAAGGTTGGACACCGCTGGGGAATCGGGACAGCGTAGCTTTGCAGTGCGCTGTTGTCGAAAAATGTCTAGCTGCTGATGCGGGAACATGACAGCAGATAGCAGAACTCTAGTGGTATAACTTCTGCTGTCAGCTAAAATTAGAATAGCAGAAGAAATCGTACAAATGTGAGTTGGGAGGGTGTTAATAAAAACAGGAGAAATGAAAGGAGGGCGGTATTGATGGCAGCTTATTTCACTTATCCATCCTGCTATATGCAGCAGATCAGTCGATTCTTTTTAAGCTACGCGATGGAAACGGCAGGATTTAGAAATGAGAAATATTAACCAAAGCTTTTGGTCCAAAAGCCTGTCCACAAGGCAGCGGGGCTGTGGCGATGACTTGGTTTTAAGGATATGGACGCCACTCTATTTCAAACGACAACTCGGATAGCTAGTAGAACAAGTTTTCCGGACGTCCTACCGCCTAAGCAATCTGGCACCAGCAGCTCTTAAATGCCCGAGAAGCGTCACCTACTATAGCTCGATGTTTCGAAGAAATATGCAAGCCTTCACACCACGTTAAACTTCAGTCGCGTTGCAGCTTTTGCTATGTCCTTACCTGGTGCCTAATATGCACATGACTACGAAATATTTATTATAATGCGAAGTTTTGCTAAATTAATTGCTTGAAATAAAGGATTTACTGTGCTTTTCACTGATTCAAATAAGTTACTCAAAGTTACTCAGGTCGGTATACGCCACTTTGTACGTGCACGGAGCTCACACATTAATAACTGGTTTACATAAGGGATCCCTTTGCAAACGTAAATACTTAGAGGACATCACGATAAGCGAAAAGCACCGAGCAGTGTTCCGCGTTCTCGGATCACATCTGTAATGTGCTTTCCATCTAAACGAGGAAGCAGTTGCGGTCACCAATCTCTGCTTCATTGATGACAACTCAGGTTGACGAACATTCAAATTGGGCAGTTAGCTATGATAAGGTCCGAAAGAACTAGTACTATCATGCACGTTTCCAACTCGCGATTGATGTGGCTAGCACGCAACATCTGATAGAATTAAAACTAACCCAGCCGCCAGTCACAATCAAAATGTATATAGATAGTAAATCTCGTTGTTATTCAAACTATTTAAACAATAAGAACACATAATGTGATTTGATGAACAAAAGTAATTATGTAACGATGCTCTGTGTGAATTCATCTGTTGTTAAACTCGGATTCATTATTTTCGATATTTTAGAGTCTACTGGTTGTTTTCACGGTTTTAACAATTCGCTTGGACTTCGCGTGAACGTTACCCACACTTTTCGTGAAAGAAATTACACATATATCTCCGTAACTACGCTGACAAATATCCGAAGCTGCTCTTATAAGGGAACTCAGAACTACGTATTCCCGAATTATAATTCAATGTACAATACCTTTTTCAAAACGGTGCTGTTTATTTACTTATTTGGGAAACGTCAGTCAAGCGGGTGACGGAGTACTTGGCGCCGCGTATTGGATCGACTATTCTACTCTATAGTTTTTGTCTACTAAAAGATCTGTTGGGCGAAAAGAAGTGTTTAGGGTCGATCCAGAAAACAATCTCGGGTGTTTGCTCTTGATACTACACCGATGAAACAAGATATCAGTTAAAAGATGGGCAAATATGCAGCACTTGTCGTTTAAGTCAGGGTACAAGCGTCGCGGAGAGCGGGTGAGCAAGCTTCATCTTAACGATTTTAACATGTGTCCAATCAGTCGCCTAAGTGCATACGTAAATATTTAGGTCGTAACTTTTCACAACGGATACAGGCGACTCGGCAACATCTTCACATCGTGAAAATATGCATGGGATGTTTTTATGACAAAGATACAGTTCGCACATTACTTTAACAGAAGCGACTTTTGCACATTGTGTGTGTGAGACCACATAACTATTACCCAAAGACGCAACATTGCTTCCCCTTCAGTCTGGATGTAAAGCTTGGCTACCTTACAGTTCACACTCTTGCAGGTAGAACTAACTCATTCGCGATGTACTATTATATTAACAACAACCCTATTTTAGTTGACGCAGGAAACAAAATACCCCATGGATCACAACGAAATACCACTTAATAAAATTTATTATTTCTGTCACGACTAAACCAGTAATGGAACATATTTCAGAGGTTATTGGTAAAAATTAAAATCGACAATCTGAATTTGCCCCAGACTTACCCATAGGTTGCTGCCTCATGATTTCCTTGTTGCAATGTTGAGCGTAACTTCTCCGACATGTTAATGCGTGTTTCCATTCTTATTGGCTGTACATGATGGAAACGTTCGTAGCGCATGATTCCACTGATCATTGCCCCCAGCTAATTCACTTAAATAATGTGCGTCTATCAGTGAAAATCACTTCAAGGTAGAAGAGAAAGCTTAACAACCAACAGTTGATGTATATTTCTGCGTCGAACCAAACAGTCGATCGAAGGTGGCGTCTTCCGTGAAACAACCTGAGTGTGCTAGTATATGCAGCTTTTTCGTGTAAATTTGCCTTAGAATAACATAATCCATGTACGTTGTATATACAGCTGTGTTGCACGAATTTGCAGTTCAAGAATGATAGAGCCTAAAGTGATTTTTTCACGTGGCAACAAATAGCGATGGGTAACCAGCAGCGATAATCAACTGACCTCAGACTGTTTCCGAATACCCTCTCGTGATACGGACGCAAGAAATTAGGACTTTCCCCTGACTTTCTTTCAGTGAAATATAACAACATGTTGTTAGTACAATAAAATAACCATATCCACCCGCCAGTCTCCGTTCCTGCCGAAACGGTTCCGAGCATCGACATGCGTCACAAATGCTAAACCCCAGTGCATTCTGAATTCTCTGTTCTGTATATGCTCAATTGCACCCGTAGTGCAGGATATAACTTGCAACAACCAGGTATTTGCTATGTAAACATTGGAGCACTGCTCTCTTTCTTCACAATCTGATGCGGTTGAGAATATCGGTGACCTCATCCTCGAGAATGCCTATTAATGGATTTCAGATTAGTAATGAGGAACCATGCAAATTAGTCGACCCTGTAAAAAGCACAATCCAGAAGGACACGTAAAACGCTTGTTCATTACCGCTGAAACTATTGCATTCACACCAAAACCCTCGGGCACACTAAGGACACCTGCACGTCTATTAACTTTGTCGTGACCTTACGGATATTACGTTGAGATCGATCAGGACCGCGGCCGATGAGGAACTGGTGGTCACCAGCGAGAGCACCCGTGTTTTATGTGTTGTGTACGCACGCACGCGATTGGATTGACTGAGTATCGATTCAATTCGCTGATCCTACTTCAAGCAGTGACCGAAACCTGTCGCAATCCGGCTAGTGCTCGATTAATATGACGCCTCAAAATTTTCAATAAATTCAAATACCTCACAAAAATGACTGAGAGATCCTTTCGTATTTACGCCGAATTAAATTGCAGACATCATTCAGGTGAATTCAAACAGACGTAATAAAGGAGAAATGCTATATGGGTTAAAATATACAGTACTTGAGACTCGACAGCGACGAGCCACGAAGCACGTCAAAGAGTTGTTCAATCTCCCTTAGTAACTTAGACTTAGGACCCTACAATTATACAGCGGCCGATACCGGCGCCTACGTGGCGACATTATTATGACCTACCAGATTCTAAGGAATCCCAAACATGTCTGCCGCCATGTCCTACAACTGAGCTTCAACACGAATTTGAAGGGAAACCAGTTCAAGTTAGCCACGTAGCACCGTCGGCTAGTATGTCGACGGAACATTTACGCTCTTCGTGTGTGTCAGCAATGGGATGCCTCACCCACGAATTGGTTGTTCACGCCCCCACTTTACCTGGGTTTAAAAAACTCCTTGATGATGCCCTAACCCACCTACATTACGAGATATAGCCTGTGTGTCACGACAGATGATATAATGCGACGAAAGTTGCACAAGCAGAATTAACCCACACGACTGCTGGCTCTTTCTGCGTGCCACTGTGTTACCACTGTGGTGAGTCCACCAAAACGATTTTCATTTTATCCTTTAGTTTTCTGTTCACCATGTGGTTGTGGTTCACATTTTGGCTACCTTTACTGGACTTACTATGCATCTGCTATTTTGCTCGTACTATACCATTGTACCAGCGTACGTTGGCAGAACAGCCAAATCGTCTTAGGTAGTATTGATTTCTACTTTAAACCTCCTTCATTCAACAACTACCACTCTACACAACGAAACACATACTTGTGTAGTAAAGCATTTTCATCATGCCAAGCCACATTACAAAATTTTCTGCAAACATAGACAAAACGATACCTCCCCCGAATCTGTGTCACAGTCCCCCATTCGCCTTAATCTATGCGCAACAAGCCTGTGACCTCCAGCTGCACTTCCTGCAGTTTTTAACCTGGTCGAATATGCTCTGTTAAGTAGTTCACAGGTTTAGGTTAAGTCAATATCTAGATCTTCAATTTCAACAGTCTCGTGGCGACTCAAGGTATTGCAATGTACTCTGCTTCATACTATTAAAATTTATACCAATGGGTTCCAACTCACTCACGCAGTGGGCAACGTTACATCATTAGGGTTACTCCTTCATAGCGCCTCTAGTTCACTCAGTCAAAAGCACTATGCATACCATACGCTCGCTGGCATAACTTTTTGACTTGATGTTGTTTTAGTAACTGGAACGTGACTTACTGATTACGCCATAAATCTCTAGTTTGCCTGTTGACAAGTACAACAGTGCATAAGATCTGGACAGAGCGGTGGATGCGTTATTTACGTTCTCGAACAATAAAACGATTCACGGCCTAGTATTCGTTTTTGGAAGACCGTGTTACCTTCATCATCGCGAAAGTTTTCATAAGCACCACACTATACATATAAGTTGTAAATACACCGTACCGAACCCCTGTGGGTATAATGTAAATATCCTAGATCTCCACCAATTAAGGGAACGACTCACCAACATCATACATATGGTGGGATTTCAACATACCTGACATACACTGGGCACGCTATACCTCAGTCACAAAACATTTGAGGTTGCCGTCTTCATCACAGTCGCTTGACTGGACTCAACGTGTTCCTTTTCTTACTGGAAGCAAGAAAATTAGATTGTTGTCCCCAACTATGATCTTCCCTTTTGCCAGACAAAATACACGAGGATTAAACAGGCTGATGTGACAGCGGGACTAACTGAGTATCGTATCTTTCTTTACAAACTTGGAACGTTGGCCTTTCCCACCCGTTATCGCCTCACTCGACTATTACTGGAGTTACGTGGACAGTAACTTTATAACTTGTACTTCACTGGATGCTGTTACTTTTCTATTATTACAGATTAACAGATCAAGCTCTTCGTTAAAGTTCATGAATGAAACTGAAAAACGAAAAATCTTGCTTTTTTGAACGTATAGGTAAATATTCTAGGGGCAGGTGACGCCAAAGTAATTTTTTCTGGAAAACTGCTTTAATTGGTCCATTTATGAAATACTTTAGTTTATAAGCCTGTAGGATAAATGGAACTTAGTTCCTTGACACTAATACCGCCCCGATAAAAGCTTTATTTAATTAACAGGTGAAGAACTTCACTTACAGGACAGTACAAGTTAAATGGTGCCCCCTGCTTTCTTCTTCAGTTAATCTATGATCGGTGACCAGTGATAAGAGATCAGAACGATGCCGAAAGCGTTTATGTTTCGAAACCTTTGAAAGAATGTGACATTTCCGAGTTACTGAACAGCACTTCATAATAAGGTAACCAAATCCGTTGATGGGTTCAATCAAATAATTTGCGAGCATCGCTTGCAGGGCTGCTGAGACCGCTTCACGTTTCGCTCGCGGAATTGGTCGCGTTTGACCAACGGCGACCGGTTTTGCAGTCGGTTTCAGCTTAATTCGATGCATATTACATGGAATATGGTCGATGGACTTCTGGAAGAGCCTCGGATAATTTTCTTGCCAGTGTGCTGCGTTGACGGAAGAGATAAGCATGCGGTCGAATGATGATACAATGTGCAAAGCCACCATAGCATTCCTCCTAAGCAAGGGTAGTCTGTTGTCCGAAGAAATATACATTGCGACATCGGCAATCACAAAATGCAACTGCAAAGGCACGATAATAAATCCAACTATGGTTAGTGTGTTCCCACTATAACTCCAAAATGAATGTGAAGGGGGATGTAAAGTATGCTGTGATAGGTAGCGTTCATAAAATTGGTAAGGCACGATAGTGATAGGAGAAGCAGAATCAAGTTCCATTTCAAGTGGAACAGCACCTTTAACAGTAAGGAACAATAGAGTACGAAGGTTAGCAGCGGGAAACGTCGGTTCAACAAAGGATATCGTTACACAACCTGAAGGTATGGCGTCAGCAGTGATTGACTAGAGGT